TATAAAATCAATGCACAGAAATCATTTGCATTCATATACACCAATAATGAAGCAATAGAAAGAGAAATCAAGGAACTGATCCCATTTACAAGTGCATCAAAACCCATAAAATACCTAGGAATAAACCTAACCAAACAGGTGAAAAATCTATGCACTGAAAACTATAGGAAGTTTATGAAAGAAATTGAAGAAGACACAAAAAAATGAAAAAAAATTCCATGCCCCTGGATTGGAAGAACAAATGTTGTTAAAATGTCAATACTGCCCAAGCAGTCTACATATTCAGTGCAATCCCTATCAAAACAACGACAGCATTCTTCACAGAGCTAGAACAAACAATTCTAAAATTTGTATGGAACCAGAAAAGGCCCTGAATAGGCAAAGCAATACTGAAAGAGAAAACCGAAACTGGAGGCATCACAATCCTGGACTTCAGACTGTATTATAAAGTTGTAATCATCCAGACAGTATGGTACTGGCACAAAAACAGACACTTACATCAATAGAAAGAATAGAGAACCCAGAAATGGACCCACAAACATATGGCCAACCAATTTTTGACAAAGCAGGAAAGAATATCCAGTGGAATAAAGACAGTCTCTTCAGCAAATGATGCTGGGCAAACTGGACAGTGACATGCAGAAAAATGAACCTGGAGTACTTTCTTGTACCATACACAAAAATAAACTCAAAATGGATGAAAGACCTAAACCTAAGACACGAAGCCATAAAAATCCTAGAGGAGAAAGCAGGCAAAAATCTCTTTGACCTTGGCCGTAGCAACTTCTTACTCAAGATGTCTCTGGAGGCAAGGAAAACAAAAGCAAAAAGGAACTACTGGGACATCAAAATAAAAAACTTTTGTGCAGCGAAGGAAAAAAATCAGCAAAACTAAAAGGCAACCCACAGAATGGGAGAAGATATTTGCAAATGACATATCAGATAAAGGGTTAGTATCCAAAATCTATAAAGAACTTGTCAAACTCAACACCCAAAAAACAAATAATTCCGTGAAGAAATGGGCAAAAGACATGAATAGACACTTCTCCAAAGAGGACATCCAGATGGCTGACAGACATGAAAAAAATGCTCAACATCCCTCCTCATCAGAGAAATACAAATCAAAACCACAATGAGATACCACCTCACTCCTGTCAGAATGGCTAACATTAACAACTCAGGCAACATCAGATGTTGGCGAGTATGCGAGAAAGAGGGTCTCTTTTGCACGGCTGGTGGGAATGCAAACTGGTGCAGCCGCTTTGGAAAACAGTATGGAGATTCCTCAAAAAATTAAAAATATAACTACCCTCCAACCCAGCAACTGCCTACTAGGTATTTATCCAAGGGATACAGGTGTGCTGTTTCGAAGGGGCACATGCACCCCAATGTTTATAGCTGTGCTATCAACAATAGCCAAAGTATGGAAAGAGCCCAAATGTCCATCGACAGATGAACGGATAAAGAAGATATGGTATGTATACATACAATGGATTATTACTTGGCAATCACAAAGAATGAAATTTTGCCATTTGCAACTAGGTGGACGGAACTAGAGAGTATTATACTAAGCAAAATTAGTCAATCAGAGAAAAACAAATATCATATGACTTCACTCACATGAGGAATTTGAGATATAAAACAGATGAACATAAGGGAAGGGAAGCAAAAATAATATAAAAACAGGGAAGGGGACAAAACATAAGACAGTCTTAAATATAGAGAACAAACAGAGGGTTACTGGAGGGGTTGTGGGAGGGGGGATGGGCTAAATGGATAAGGGGCATTAAGGAATCTACTCCTGAAATCATTGTTGCACTATATGCTAATTTGGATGTAAATTAAAAATAATTAAAAATAAATGGAAAAAATATATTTCTTTGAATATGTATGGGATGCCTCTGGAAAAACATACTAGTTAAAAATGGTTGTCTGGAGGCGCCAGAAGGCTCAGTCAGTTGGGCATTCAACTTCAGTTCAGGTTGTGATCTCGCAGTTTGTGAGTTGGCAGCCTCATATCAGGCTGCCTGCTGTCAGCATGGAGCCTACTTCGGATCTCTGTTCCCCTCTCTCTATGCACCTCCCCAGTTCACACTCTCACTCTTAAAAATAAACATTAAAATAAAATGGTTGCCTCTTGAAGAACTAAAGGCCAGGGCACAGGGGTGGGAGGAAAAGTTTTCAGTATATATAGTTTGTTACCAAGTTCATTACTTACTCACAATAACTTTTTAAAAAGATAGCAAAATCACAAGTACCACTGTGGAATCAATAGTGAAGAAATTCAGAATCTTGCCTGGACAGCTAGGCTTATCAAATTTCTGCAGGTGTGATTTCACCATGTTGCAGTCCCTCAAAAATCACATCACCACTGCCAACTGCTCTCCAGCTAAGCCTCCAGAATCAGTCTTTGTGGGAAAACAGGATCAAATTTCATGTTCTTTGACATTGTGTCAATGAAGGCTGCTGACTGATGATCTCTACTGAAAAACCATCAGATACAGGTGTTCTCTTTAGAGTGGGATTCAAGACTCTTAAGGCTGGAATATGAACAGCTCGCAGTGGTTTTATAGAACTAGAACCGTGGCAATAGGCATCCCAATGCTTCCATTAAAAACACATACCCTGTCAACAGCTCTCTAATACATACGCAAATAAATCCTACTTTTTTTTTTTTTTTTTTTGCCTGAGAATTAAGAGTCCTGTAAACCTTTCATGTCTTTATGAATTTTTCCTTTAGGGAGAGGTCAGTTCAAGTTTCACATGGTTAATAAATTCTGCTTGGACCCTCAGCTCCCAGTGAGCCCTTCCTGTCCCAAGCTACTGTTAAATGAAGACAGTAAATTTGTCTATTGACTCAGGGGTTTCCAAACATTTCCTTCCTCCATCCTGAACTCTTTTTTCAAAGGGAAAGCCTCCAACGAAGGCCAAATATGTGAAATACCAGCTCTGGATGACAATGGTACAAACTCGGGGCACCTGAATAGCTCTGTCAGTTAAGTGACTGACTTGTGATTTTGGTTCAGGTCATAAGCTCATGGTGGGGGGGATACAGCCTTATGTCAGGCTCCATGCTCAGTCAGCCTGGGATTCTCTCCCTCTGTCCCCCCCACTCTCTCTCAAAATAAATAAATTTAAAATAATTAGGGCGCCTGGGTGGCTCAGTTGACTCAACACCGAATCTCGATTTTGGCTCAGGTCATGATCCCAAGGTCATGGGATTGAACCCTGAGTGGGGCTCCATTCTTTTTTTTTTTTTATTTTTTTTTAATGTCTTTATTTATTTCTAGGAGAGAGAGAGAGAGAGAGACAGCGTGAGCAGGGGAGGGTCAGAGAGAGAGGGAGACACAGAATCTGAAACAGGCTCCAGGCTCTGAGCTGGCAGTCAGCACAGAGCCCAACGCGGGGCCCGAACCCACCACCGTGAGATCATGACCTAAGCGAAAGTCGGACGCTTAACCGACTAAGCCACCCAGGCGCCCCAGTGGGGCTCCATTCTGCACATGGAGCTTGCTTAAGATTCTTTCTCCCTCTGCCCCTCTCCCCCACTTATGCTCTCTTAAATAAATAAATAAATGAGTAAATAAATAGCTAGCAATGTTTTCTTAGATTTATTTGAGAGAGAGAGAGAGAAAGCAAGGGAGGGGCAGAAAGAGAGCAAGAGAGAATTCCACTCAGGCTCTGCGCTGCAGAGGCTCAAGCTCATGTACTGAGAGATCATGACCTGACCCAAAAGCAAGAGTTGCTGCTTAACCAACTGAGAAACTTAGGCATCCCCAAAAAATGTGTCTTTAGGGGTGCCTGAGTGGCTCAGTCTGTTAAGCATCCGACTTTGGCTCAGGTCATGACCTCATGATTCATGGGTTTCTGAGCTGCTGACAGCCTGCTCAGAGCCTGGAGCCTGCTTCAGATTCTGTGTCTCCCTCTCTCTCTAACCCTCCTCTCCTCATGCTGCCTCTCTCTCTCTCTCTCAGAAATAAAAACATTAAAAAAGATTTTTTTAAATGTGCCTTAAAAAAAAAAAAAAGGAAAAGAATTGTACAAACTACAATTCTCTTTCCCCTATCCCCGAAGAAGTTCAACCAGGCAGTTTTAAAACTATGGGTTTATTCCACCAACAAATGTTGTTGGCTAACTTTTCTTTCAACTTCCCAGATAGATTATTAATTTCCTAGGGGCATTGGTCCTGTTTTATTGACCTAAGTTCAACTAATACTTCAGCATTATTTATGTACCAGGTACTAAGCCAGCAAGGTAGAATACTTTTATATCTGGCCTTTGATACAACCCAGGAGATAAGGCATTTTTTGGTCTCCATTTTACACATAAGGTTAAGAGAAGCTGGAAGAAAAGACCTAATTTAATCAACAGCAGAGATGCAACTCATGCCCAGGCCCTCAGAGTCTAAATCCAGTACATTTTCTATTCCAGCAAGCAGCCTCTAGGTCCGTCATGGATTATTCTTTCCCGGAGTTCTCGAGAGACTAGCTGGGGCCACCACTAGAGAGGCTACAATTAGTAGTGGTCATGAAGACAAGTTCAGTCATGGATCAAGTTCATATGGTCCTAGGCTACTGAGCTACCCCCAACAGCTCTTTTCCTTTCTTTTCCTGTTCATCATTCTTTCCAAAGCTGTTCTGCCAAGATGATGGTATCTTCCTACATAATCTACAATTAAACCAAAACCAACCAGACAAAACCTTTAATGTGTCCCGGAATAATTAGCTATTTGCTTCTCTTTCCTCCCTCTCACCTTAACCTACAATTATTCTAATACCTTCAGGAAGATCACTTTTCTAGTTTACACAAAAGAAAAGGGAAAGGGCAAAGGGCTTATCTAAAAGACAATTAAGAATTAGTAAATGTCAGGGGCTAGATACTATATTAAGATTTAAAGTTCCTGGGTGCAGTCATTCACAAAAACAAAAACTTACTGTATAAAAAATAGACCAGCTGTATTAGGAATACAAAGACACTCAAAGAAAAGACTGCAATCCAACTTTCAAATGTTTTATTTTTAGTGGTTTTAAACATTTTAATACAACAAAGATATAAAATAATATATATTAGTTAAATCTGGCTTTAATTTAGAATCAAGATATTTACTTATATACAATACTGTGCTTCAAGGTATGGCTACCACAGGAACATTCACATCTTCAAGTAATACTAGTTTCTCTGTGGACAGAGTAACATTTAGGTAGCATTCTTAAAACAAAACACGCCCACTTAAGTCCAAACTAATTTTGCTTCCCCTGCCAAGTACCAGTTTCCACTTCCTTTGTTCCATATCAGGAATACTTCAATTGTCCTAACAATCCATTGAGTATCTCAATAAAAAAATTGTTAAAATTAAGCATTTTTAAGATGACATTAATAAGCCAGTAGCTTATACTGAAACAGACCTGAAATAACAACAAAATTATTATAGTATTCTTTCTTTCTCCTCCACATCAGGCACAAAGCACCTTATGCTTAAACGTGGAGTGCACTGGAATAAAAAGTCCTTTGGCTAATTTAGGTTAGAACATATTCTAAAAACCAACTTTACAGGTAGCTGAATTATGGCTTACAGATTTCATAGATGTTTTTATTGAACTTGATGCAAAATAATAGGCCACATTTTAGTTACTTGAAATTGGTGGCATTCACTGGGTGTGAGAGGTAGGTGAGAGGGGAGATCAAAACTACTTTCATAGTACTTTCAGTCATTCAGAGCTTCTCAGAGAAGGAAAAACCCTCAACTTCTTTCCTTTCTCACTTGTCACCTGAAGCAGTCTGACTTCTGATGTTACTAACAATCAAAACAAGTCACCTCTACAGAGGTATGGGGTAATTCAGGCTACCCTTTTTACAAATGCACACCATCTTAACCAGCAAGTAAAGATGGCATTAAAACTGACATGCTTTGTTGGCTTTGAAACTATCTAAATGAAACCAATCCTGCTTAGGAAAGCTATTGGACTACTCTAAAAGAGAACTTTCTTGTCTCAAATGCCTGAATACCTTAAAGAACTGACACATAACTATTACTATAATTACTTTTTGTAAGGGATAACTTAGGTCTACAAAAAGACTTCAAAGAATTAAATTTATTAGATCACAGAGTTTAAAACAAGAATATGGTTAACATCCTCAAGCACTTTAGAACAAGGATCCTTAAAAAATGTTTACTATAAAACTAATGATGAAATTGCCTTTTGCTGAATACACTCAAAGCAGGTTAGTGTTATGAATATGACTTTGAGTATATAAATTAACACTTTCCAAACAGATGTCTCTAAAACACACTGTTTCATTTCAGCTGTAAAAGGATTTGGCTCCTCGGTTCTCCATTTACAAATTGTAAGATTTTTGAAATTCTAAGTAAAAACACTTAGGCAGGTTCAGGGTAAGAAAGAGCCACTTGTGTTGTGTGAGTTACACAATCAGCAAGTCTTTCAGTCAGTGGGTGTTTTGCTGTGAACAGTCCACATTTCTTTAGCTGACTGGTTCTAAGATTACTTTCATTGCTTTCTGACTACAAAAAAAAAAGAACAAAAAAACAAAAAAACAAAAAAAACCCAACTTAAACAGATATGGAAGTTGTATTTTTACCCCAGCAATTCTGACCACAGAGAGCTATGGAGAGAACAGGCATTTGAGAATTCTGCAGCAGAGCCAAAAACGGTTTCTCCCAAATTACTCAGTAATAACAGTAAACGTGCCTTCTTCAAAATCTCCTACTCCCTACTAACTTCAATTACCCTTCAGTAACAATGCCCTGCATGGACTTAAAAAAAAAGAAAAATAAATAAAAAGAAAAAAGAGAAAAAAGGCTACACTGTCAGGAATATAGAGAAATGCATTGAGGACTTTCAATACAACCTCCAGTTTACATCCCCAAATCAAAACCTTCTTGGTTCATTCTATACTGAAATTTCAGTAATGATATAAGCTTTCACAAGCCTGCAACTGAAAACAGGGCAAAAAATATATAGATCTAAGGCTTGCAGCTTCTCCACCTAGCACATTCACACCCAGAATGTGACTATAAATACCACCTTTCCAATGTTTAGATTTTAACAACAACAAAAAAATACAAAGACAAAATCTGGAAAGTTTCTGGACAAAACAAAATGAAAAAAAAACAAAAAACCAAGTGTAATGTAGGTTTCATATTTAAAAAATAAATGGAAAAGAATTTTGTGTCAAAGTTTTCCAAGAAAGAGACTTGGAGATGATGGATTTATGTAAACACTGCCTTATATTAGTTATAAATCTAGCTTATCTTTTCCTCAAATCAGATATGACAAATGCAAGGCTGAAAACTTATTTTATAATCCTCACTGGAGTCTGCTGTTAGGCACTCTCAATGTCAAGAGTGCTGCAAAGTTAGTTACAATTTTTTTTTCTATTCTGTTCTAGAATAGTATCCATATGAAGGAAAGAAGACTGATGTTAGGAAACTTATCATTAAGTAGCTATCCACTTCATGAATTAATGCTGCCACAGATTTTTTTTCAAACAGGTTTTCAAAAGCCAACATTAGTCCCTCCATAGCTAAAATACGGGCTTGCTCTGTCACTTGGAAAGAATGGCAGTTACACATCTTTTGACCTCAAGAGTCAAAATACTCTAAGTGGCATAAGAAACATCCTTCACCCTTCATGATTATGCAGTTTCCTTAGATGAAGTGTTAGCATTTTTGTCCCTAGCATGTAAAAAATCCAATAACTTCAGATATTATAAGATTCTTAAGTATGAATTTTAAAACAATAATAAAATCATAATTATAATAATCATAATTTTAAACTTGAATTGCCTTGTGTCATTTCTCTGGTGAGAAATAAAAAATAATGTTCATAGTAGACTCAAATTGGGTAATTCAGCACTGGCTGAAACTTGTTTGCATAATATTCCTTTCCTGCTCTAGCCATTCAAGCTCCTCTACAGCTTATACAGGAGTGGGAATAGGACTCAAAACGCAAAAATAAAATATTTCACTCACATGACAAGCAGGTTTCAGCTAAGTGGCCTGATTTTAGACCTCAATATGTCAGCACTTTTTCTAACTCCTTGTTTTAAAATGGAATGTAAAAACTACACACTTAATTTTCCAAGTGGCTAAGCTCAATCAGTAGGGGCTCAAATTCCAATTCCATAACCATTCTACTGTTGTAACTATTAAAATCATTAAAAATAAAGTGACAAATGTTATCACAGAGGTCAGATGACTTACGGTACTAAATTTCTAGTGTAAACCTTAACTAAGTCATATCACTTTCTGACTGCCAAATTAAGACAAAAAATAGAAAGAATGTATGTACACAATTGTATTTAAAAATGGAACACAACAAAACCTTTTTATATCCAAATATATTTGAGACTGTTTACTTCTTATGGCCAAGAATGACATATATCAAAAACCAAAGAACTGTATTATGTCTGCAGCCTGTTAAATGTTTCTTTTCCGAAATAGAAAAAATATTCTTTGCATGCATACCTCCCTACTTAAGGACATAAGAACTTTATCTAACATTTGTTAAAACACTCCACTATTTTGCTCATTAAATAACATCATTAAAAAGCATAAAATTGGGTTGTCATAAGTCTAACTAACAACTACAGCATAAAGTTGTTCCAGGTACCTACCTCACTAAAATTAAGCCAATTTGATTCTTATGGATGCAGCCACTTTTCCCTCAAAAATACTCACTGATGGTCATACCGAGCCCTCAGAACAAAACAGGAACTGCATCTTTTGTTTTATCTTTGGTGAAAAATTCCACTACCATATTTGTACTGTCGCTTCGTGTATAGTCTTTTTCATTCTTTTCTTGTTTCAGGCATCCTGGTATGATCAGTATACTTTTCTTACAGATGGTTCAGAAAGCAAAAATTATTTGTTAGTAATACAGATTACCTTCTAGAGTTGCATTTTTTAAAAAGACAGAGATCAGTTCAAAGATCAAATACTGCTCACTTGGTAGGGGTTTTTCCCTTGAAGATATTAAGGAGCTTAAAAAAATTATTTCTTGACTAGAATCCTAATGAAATTAAAAACAAACAAATAAACAAAACCACTTTCAACCAGCAAATTGCTTAAGTTCAACAAGCTAGCACTCAACAGGTAAAGATAACAGCCTAACTTTGATCACAACATTGTTTGCTGAAAGAGAAATTTAAGGAAACATCTACTTAAACTTAAGCTTCCTTTTCAAACAGATCTGTAAGGACTCTTGATTGTTCTTTCTTGAATTCTATAATCACAGCCTTGCTCAGAACATGGAACTTTACTTTGTCAACATATAAGCCCAAAAGCAAGGCATCCAGGAACAACCAAGGGGGAGAAAGCAAAGTTATTCACTTTCAACAACTACTATATATTTAATCATGAACCCATTACAAAGGTAGTCTTTATCCAATTAATCTTTTCATTATTGTTGGTTTTGAAAATGGCCAACAATATTCATTAGGTACTGTACCATTAACATTGCATTCAAAAAAAGAAAACATGGGAAACCAAATTCTTGCCCTCCTACTCTGCTGATATGCTCTGGTATTGGCTAGAGTATGGTAGTACAAAAAGAGTCTTGTCGTGATATAAAAGGCGATAAACACATCAATGGAATAATGTTCATGGGCAGCCAAAATGAAGAAGATTCCAAAGAGGTTGAGAACCCAGGATAAAGTGTGCAAGAAATTCCAGCTTCTTGGTGTATCTGGGGAAAGGACAGAAAGATCATTTCAAAACCACATCCCTTCCAATGCTTCTAAGTCATGTGTTTCCTAGGTCATTCTGTTCCTTTCATTCTTCACAGAACGTGACACCCTTCCCATAGCCTCCTCTGCAGCCAGTCATCTGATATGCATGGAAGGATTAAAAAGATACTTACATTCAGTGACAAAGAAATTCAGCATAGTTAGGACGACTGTGTGGCCACTGAACATGTAATCTCCGCAAGTGTGAACACCAGTTAGAGTCATACCAAAGCCACTCCAAATGGCAAAGGCCCGGTGCAGTTTTTCCCATACACTGCCATAGATCTATAAAGAAAGCTACAGATTAGAGAGGTAGGGGTTTCTGAACATCCACTCCCATTGAAATTCAAATGCTGAATGACTTAGAAATAAGATCTAAAGAAAAGCAACCAGAATCCCAGTCTAATTCCAGACATCAAGAAAGGGTGGTCAGAACTATTCTGATAATTACATGAAATCAATGTAATTCAAATTTCTCTACTAGAAGTTCCTTTACAATGAAAAGGTCACTATTACACAAATTATTTCCAAGTTTTTAATCCAATAATACAGTAGTATTTGCTGGCTGTTCCTGCCAATTAAGAAATAGGCTAAGACAGTGGCAATGGCTACCATTCAATGTCTAGCCTCCCCCCCGCTTTTTAATGTTTATTTATTTTTGAGAGAGAGAGCGAGCGAGCATGTGAGCATGGGAGGGACAGAGAGAGAGGGTGTCACAGAATTCTAAGCAGGTTCCAGGCTCTGGGCTGTCAGCACAGAGCCTGAAGCAGGTTCCAGGTTCTGAGCTGTCAGTGCAGAGCCCAACGTGGGGCTTGAACTCATGAACTTTGAGATCGTGATCTGAGCTGAAGTTGAATGCTTAACCAACTAAGCCACCCAGGTGACCCTATTCTCCCCTTCTTAACTGGTAACAGAATCTCAACTTTATTTGAGGCAGCAATGAATTCAACTGAAACACTGTATTTCCTATCCTCTCTTGCAGGCTTGGTGTGGTTATGTGACTAAACTTTATATAGTAAGATATAAATGGAAGTGTAAAAGATTTCTGGGAAGGTTAATTATAAAGGAAAGAGACAACTATTCCTTCTAGCCTAAAACTCAGATATGATCATTGAAGCTCTAGCAGCCATCTTGGACCACCAAGTAGCCTTGAGGATACAAGCCAAGTGTTAGGATAGGAGAACAGAAAGAGAGAAGAATCATGGGTTTTTGATAAGTCCATATAGTTATAAGTGACCTACTTTCAGATTTCTCTTATGAGAGCGAATAAGCCATTGTTTGCTTATTAAACTATGCCACCTTGAATTTCCTGTTATTAACAACCAAATCTAATCCCAACTCCCACATATAAGCTTAAAAAAGCAATCCATTTTGAGGAAGAGTTTTGAGTAAAGGTCATTTTTTTAAGGCATTTAACACATAATAACTGTACAAAAATTACTAAAATTTTAATATGCATTTACTATGTGTAAGGCATACTGCTAAGTGCCTTATGTGTTACTGTATTTAATTTCCACAACAATCCTATGAAGTGATTCAATTGTGTAGATGAGGAAACTGGCTTAGAGAGGTCACACAGTTAGTAAGTAACTAAATGAGGATATGATTCTTTGTCTAGGAAGACCAGTTCCAAAATCCTACGTCTCTACTTGCTAGATGGGGTGCTGCCCAATTCATCAGTCATTTACTAAAGCCAGTTAGATCTTTAAACACACACACACACACACACACACACACACACACACACTTACAAAACAAAAAGCCAAACAAACAACAAAATTGTCCTATGTTTTAAAGATTCTACTGTAGCTAATTAACAACAGAAATAACCTCATTAGATACCGCATTTCATTAGAAATCTCACCTACTGATTACACGATACCCAGCTTTCCCTTTCTGCCTCAGTGGAAGGCAGGACAGGAAGAGGAATTTATTATTAGAGAAAAGGAAAGAGAAGTTACTAAAATATACATGGTTTGGTTCCTCTAAGACTTCTAATAAGAACAGGGTTGGAGATGATACTCTTGTGAAAGTAAGAAATTAGGCAGTAAAGGACAGAGACTACTAGGAAAATATCTCTCAGCCAGGGACAGGAAACAAGTGATGCCAGTCAAAAGAAAGCAATCATTTACTCAAGTTCCTCAAGTCTCCCTATCCCTTCCAGTCTTAAATGTCCCAAATATCCTTCCAGAAAAAGAAAAATTAAAACACAACAGACTAAGATGCGTTGATGAAACAAGTATAAAAATCTGCTTTAAGTAGTTCTTTCCTTAGGGTGGGGCCATGGCTAATTTCAAAAACAGGCAGGTTTCTTGGTTTTGTCCCTAGACCTCCTACTTCTGGGAATGAGATTTCAAGCAATTACTTTATTTCAATGAAAATGCCCTACGGAGTTCACTGTAAGGGATTTGATTGCTAGCTACTACCACCTTAACCTTCTATTTTTAACAACTGCTACAAATAATACAGGTCAATAAGTAGGTTATATTGTAATTTAAAGCAATTAACAGTATTTAGGGCGGATTTGAATAGAAATGCCCATATATAACTAACTGATAATGAAAAACAGTCATTAGAGACAGAAAAGGGGCTATCCATACTATAGAGGAATGGTATCTAATTTATTTTTGTAGTACATGTTGCAGTGCTATGTACATATACTATTCTCTTTAGTGGCTGACCCAACAATTAAATCCCTCAGTCATAGGAAATTCTCTTTTCAGTGTAATAAGCTTATATTTTTCTTCTTTAAAATCTCTTCTAATCAAATACCATACTATTTGGGGGAAACGATTCTATCCCTATTTCACACCATGTACAGAAATAAATTCAGAAGAGTAAAGATTTAAATAGAAAATATAAAAGTCTCATACCATCATCTTTCATTAATCAGAATGGCAATGAGTCCAAAAATTGGTAAGTAGTGCTGGCACAGGAGTGGGAAAACTGACATGTATACAGTGTAGATAGTAATGAAAAAATCTGTCTCTTCTAGTAAACATTTGAGCAATAATATCGTCACAATTTTTAATGTATATGTTCTTTGATTTCAAAATACCACTTCCAGGAATTTATCATTAAGTAGATGTTTAAATAAGTGAAAATACATAAATGTACCAGGATGTTTACAAAGACACTGTTTATAAATAGTAAGATTTGGAAACAACATAAATGTATATATATCATTTGGAAACTGGTAAATCATATAATGGAACACTGTAGCCATTAAAAAAAATGAGGTATAAACATATGCATTTCTTTAGAAAAAAAGTAAACAACATATTAAATAAAACATAAGTTAAAGAACAATATCTGCAATATAATCTCATCTTTTATTTAAAAAGTATCTATTTTATAAACTTATGTGAATGTGTAACCATGCTTAAAAATAGTCCATGTAGCTATATACCCAACTGGTAACAGTATTATTTATGGGATGGGTGAAAGAAGGAATTATGTGAGCTTTTACTTTTTTTATGTTTATTTTTGAGAGAGAGCGAGAGCGAGCGAGTGAGCTCAATGCAGGGCTTTAACTCAGGAATTGTGAGACTATGGCCTGAGCTGAAGTCAGATGCTTAACCAACTGAGTCACCCAGGTGCCCATGTGAGCTTTCACTTTTTAATTTATATGTTTTTAAAAAAAATAAAACATTTCCTTTACACAAAATCCTAAATGTCATATTAACCTTGCCCTCTTGCTTACTGGTCAGTCTCCTAATACCTTGAGAAAGTTTTGTCACCCTTCAGCTCAGGGCTGTATTTTTAATTCTTGATCTCCTTTGGCTGCTTAATCTTCCCTTGCTGGCATTTCAGCTATTTATATTGCACTAGAAGAACTGACACTTAATTATGTTTTACACTTTACAAAGAATATTAAAACAACAACAAAGGTGGTGTTAACACATATATTTGAATATTTGGGAATATATGACCAAAGTATGGAAGTTTAGAATAGTAGGATAATAAATTCTTCTGTCCAACGTTAATGAGTCTCAAAGGCCAATTTTGTATAGTACAGGTGGTTTTCAGGTTAAAAATAATTTTTTTTCTTATCTGGGTTTGTTGTTGTTTCCATCTGCATAATCTCTCCTCTCTCAATTCAATCAGAAAAGAAGATATGTCTACAATATAGCAAAACAAGCTACAAAGTTTAAAACAAAAACAATAAATCAGCCATTATTTAGTATGTCCTAGGAAAGAGTAAAGTTTAGAATAGAGTTTAGAATACTTTAAATGGAATATGGTCAAACTGTAAAACTTTTAAAAAAGAAATGATGAGGACACTGAAGTGACCAGAGTCATTTCATATGAGGAACCAAAATGATAACTGAAAGAAACTTTTCTTTTCTTTCTTTAAAAAAAATTTTTTTAATGTTTGTTTATTTTTGAGAGAGAGAGAGAGAATGTGAGCGGGGGAGGGGCAGAGACGGATGGAGACACAGAATCCGGAGCAGGCTCCAGGCTCTGAGCTGTCAGCATAGGGCCCTACGTGGGCTCAAACCCACAAGCAGTGAGATCATGACCTAAGACAAAGTTGGACGCTCAACAGAATGAGTCACCCAGGTGCCCCAAAAGAAACTTGTTTTCTATAGCTTCATGGCACAGGACCAGTTTCAATGGACAGATATAACAGGGAGGTAGATTCTGGCTTAAGATTTCTACCATCATTCCTAGAGGTTTCTTACAGATACTGAAAATACTGAAAAGCACATTTTACTATTAAGAGCAAAACCTTAGCCCTATTACAAAAATGGTGCCATCGACCCACCAAGAACAAAAGGGAAGAATGATAAAGAGGTAGCAGGCTACCTTTCCAGTACACTGCAGGTGCTGTCCTGGCACGGAGAGGGAGGTCACAAACATGGTAAAGCAGCGAAGCAAGAACACAGTACCCATCAGACTACAGAGCCTTCGAAGAAGTATTGACCTGTGAACAGAGCGACCAAAAAAGAGAGAAAGATCAGAAGGAAGCAAACCAAAAAAACTCCAGGCATCAAGTGTTTACCTAAAGGGAGAAAAGACAGGAAAACTACTAGTACTAGACTCTTTGAAGAGAACAGAAATCTTAGAGAACTCTTCATTCTAAAGCATCATTGTCCAATACAACTTTATGCAATGATGGAAATGCTCTATAAGTGTACTGTCTAAAAAAGGTATCTAAATGTGGCTCTTGAGTACTTGAAATGTGACTAGTACAACCAATGAACTGAATTTTAATTTTATTTCATTTTCATTAATTTAAATAGCCAGATGTGGCTAATACCTGCCATGTTAGACAATGCAGACCTAAGAGCATCATTTCATTGATAAGAAAATATAGCTAAGAGAAGGTAAAGAAGCTAGTGAGAAAGAAGTAAGACTAGTACCTAGCTGATTCTTAGCTTAATCGGTTAGCCCTGTTATTCATCTATGGCTCATAAATTGTTTATTTTATGAGAAATAAAATTAAACACATGATTCTGGGGAATTTTTTGCTCATTAATAACACTATGAATTGTTACTGACAGTAACACAGGTACCTCAGTACTGATAGTAGCTATTTAATAAATATTCTCTAACCTCTCCTAACTTAAACTTAAGCTATAAAATACTAAGTCTTTTGGGGAGCCTGGGTGGCTCAGTTGATTCAGCGTCCCATTTTGGCTCAGGTCATGATCTCGTAGTTTCTGAGTTCAAGCTCCATATCAGGCTCTGTGCTGACAGCTCAGAACCTGAAGCCTACTTCAAATCTGTGTCTCCCTCTCTCTCTTCCCCTCCTCCACTTATACTCTGTCTTTCTCAAAAATAAACAAAAAAATTTTTTAAAATGCCAAGTTTTTCTAAATACCAAGTTTTACGTTAAGTATACCTAACAAAAATTTTGAACTGCATTGTAATATCACTTGTACTGTCGGGGCACCTGGGTGGCTCAGTCGGTTAAGCGTCCTACTTTGGCTCAGGTCATGATCTCACTGTTTGTGGTTCGAGCCCCGCGTCAGGCTCTGCGCTGACAGCTAGCTCAGAGCCTGAAGCCTGCTTCTGATTCTGTGTCTCCCTCTCTCTCTGACCCTCCCCTGCTTATGCTGAGTTTCTCTCTCTCAGAAATAAATAAAACATAAAAAAAATTTTTTTAAATATCACTTGCACTGTCGTATTATTTTTTAAAATGCCTTAAACCAAAACAGACTAGAAGATTCTTAAAAACAGGAATTATGCTTTACACATTTTGAAATGCTCTTCCCACCCTCAAAAAACGTGGAACACAGATTAAGACATCTCAAATTTTAGTGTGTACACCTGGGATAGAGCCTAGGCATCTACAGTTTAATAAGAAACCTGTTGAGTCTAATGAAAGTAGTACAAAGAGCACACTTTGAGAAACACTTTCTTTGACTAATTAAACTTTAAAACTTGCACTTAACTGGCCACTGCTATGCTTTGTTAAACCTACCACAATTTCCTACAAGGTAAACTCTTTCTCTTTCTTGTCAAGAGTGGATAAATTCAAAGTCACCAGGTCTTGTGAGTCAAAGTTAAACCAGAAGTACTGGTGTTATACATGTTTTTAAATCACCTCTGGTTTCAGGCAATTCAGAGTTAAATCAAGTAATTCCCTCTCATTAAGTAGGAAAGAAGCCTCCCCTTATACTTTTTTCTTAATAAAAAATATTCTTTCCTTTATATTTCTTAGTGGAAGTGTCAAAGAAGCACTTTCCCTATTCTGCAATTTCCTATACCACCTTAAGCAAACCACACTGGCTAGATAGATGTGAAAGGTGTGCAACATAATCCCTTTTCTAATGAGCTTCCTCCAAGCAGAGAACAATGTCTTCCATTCAAACACTATCCTTGTCCAAAGACCATCCTTGGAGGACTTTCTATCTTTCTACAGAAAGTGATATTTCCAGGGGCGCCTGGGTGGCTTAGTCGGTTAAGCGTCCGACTTTCGCTTAGGTCATGATCTCGCGGTTCGTGGGTTCGAGCCCCGCGTCGGGCTCTGTGCTGACTGCCAGCTCAGAGCCTGGAGCCTGTTTCAGAGTCTGTGACTCCCTCTCTCTCTGACCCTCCCCTGCTCACGCTGTCTCTCTCTCTCCTAGAAATAAATAAAACATTAAAAAAAAAAAAAGAAAGTGAGATTTCCAGTTTGTGATATTTCCAGTTTCCAAGGAAAGTTAAAGCTAGACTGTCAGCGATGGCTAATGGCTGAACATTACCAACTCTGATCTTGGCATCCAGAATACATTCAGAATATAACTAAATTCTTGTTGATCAAACCCAAAACATTTTCCATAATGACTAAAGAAGGAAATTAACAAGGAAACCACAAAGGGAGAAACAAGATTTGATTAACTTTATCCAAGACAGTAAAAATATTTTGTCTTTTAATGGAATAACTGAGGTACCTGTGTTTGTGAAGAAGAAGAACCAGGAGCCAAATATAGCACAAAATCATCCCACATACTTCTGTCATGGCAAAGGCCCATGGAATTCTAGGAACACTGGAATAGAAAAAAAGTACATTTCAACTGACAAGAAGTGTATGTACATGACACCTTTTGCAACACTATACTCTTCTAGATGGTTTCTGCAACTTTTACCTCTTTTAGGAGAGGATATTTAAAGAAATTGGGGGAAAAACTGTTTCATCAATTATCCCATTTGCCAAAACTTCTTTGCTGTTTTTGATTCCCAATTAACGGTTCTCTATGAAGAAGTTACAATTCTTTTCTTCCTCCCTGTAGAATGGTAGACCCAGATACAAAACTGCCCACAAACATCAATGGGAAAAGGTTCACCTCTTGCATGATGTGCTAACTGCAGAATCCAGACAATCAGGGCTTGAACTTGACTTTTGTTTTTCTTACAGTAAATTTGTTTGTTTGTTTAGTTTTGTTTTAAAGGCAGTAAATAGTGTTGTTTTTTTTTACTCCTTTATTTTTCTGCCCTCCTTTGTTTTATATCCGTTTTCTTCTATTTTTTCCACTGATTCCTCTTTCCTCACCAAATCCACAGCTCCTGTGGTTACCCACTAGTAGAATACATGTCACATTTCTTAATTTAAAAAGAAAGAAAAAAGGGCATCTGGTTGGCTCAGTTGGTAGAGCATCTGTGACTCTTGATCTTCGGGTTGTGGGTTTGAGCCCCACATCAGGTGCAGAGATTACTTATAATCATAAAAAATAAATAAAAAGAGAGGAGGAGGAAAAGACAACTGAGAAGGGAAGGAGGTAAAAGTGGAAATTAATTAGTGAAAATACATCATCTCCAGGTGATTGTCTTATTATTTTTTTTAAAGGTATTTACTTTAAGAGATTCAGAGAGCATGAGCTGTGGCGGGGGTGGGAGAGATGGAGAGAGGGAGAGAAAGATAAAATCCCAAGCAGGCTCAACACTGCCAATGTAGAGTCTGATGCAGGGCTCAAACTCACAAACTGTGAGATCATGACCTGAACAGAAATCAAGAGTCAGATGCTTAACCAACTAAGCCACCCAGGCACCCCTGGTTGTCTTATTTTTATTCTTTGTACATTTCCACTAAAATTTATTGTACAATGTGTTAATTTTATAACTAAAGAAATAAAGGTATCTTTTAAAAATAAAACATGAAATCTGAAAGAAAGATATTAACAGTCTTATCCAAACCTTATTCAGAATAAGTGAAGAGAGTCCATTATCTTTAGTCAAGGATTTATCCTTTATCTATTACCTCAAAAGACTCCTTTTATGCATTTTTAATCTACTGCTGCCTTATTTACCTGGCATTACTGGGGGAAAGGGTTATATCACATATCAGAAATTTTCTGATTTAAAATACTTTTAACTATATAAATTTTTAAATGAACATTAAAAATAATATATATGTAGGGGCGCCTGGGTGGCTTAGTCGGTTAAGCGTCCGACTTTTGCTTGGGTCATGATCTCGCGGTTCGTGGGTTCGAGCCCCGCGTCGGGCTCTGTGCTGACTGCCAGCTCAGAGCCTGGAGCCTGTTTCAGTCTGTGACTCCCTCTCTCTCTGACCCTCCCCTGCTCACGCTGTCTCTCTCTCTCTCTCTCTCCTAGAAATAAATAAAACATTAAAAAAAAAAATCAGTTTCTCTTTAAAAAAAAAAAAAATAATATATATGTATATATGTATAAATATGTGTGTATGTAAAACAGTTTTACAATGTTTAGGATGAAAATAAGTTGGGGCGCCTGGGTGGCTTAGTTGGTTAAGCGTCTGACTTTTGCTTAGGTCATGATCTCGCGGTTCATGGGTTCGAGCCCCGCATCGGGCTCTGTGCTGACTGCCAGCTCAGAGCCTGGAGCCTGTTTCAGTCTGTGACTCCCCCTCTCTCTGACCCTCCACTGCTCACGCTGTCTCTCTGTCTCCTAGAAATAAATAAAAAAATAAAATAAAAAAAAAAAAAAGAAAATAAGTTTTCTGCCTCATCCCCTACCTAATTCTTGCTTCCTAGAGGCAATCACTTTCACTCTTGTGTTTTATTTAGCATTAAATCTTTTAGTCAGCCTCCCATACTCCCATTTTCTCTCCCCTATTCTCAACAGTTTCAATTAAAAAAATAATTTTTGGCTTTTACTTAATATAAGTTTCTAAATACCATTTGCAGCTGAGTCAATAGAGAACAATAATTAAATCCCTTTCTTTTTTTTTAAATGTTTTTTTTTTAAATTTATTTCTGAGAGAGAGAGACAGAGAGAGAGATGGTGTGAGCAGGGGAGGGTCAGAGAGAGAGGGAGACACAGAATCTGAAGCAGGCTGCAGGCTCTGAGCTGTCAGCACAGAGCTCGATGTGAGGCTCGAACCCACGAACTGTGAGATCATGACCTGAGCTGAAGTCGGACGCTTAACTGACTGAGCCACCCAGGTGCCCCTTAAATCCCTTTCTTGTAGTAGAAATTCTTGTAATTCTCTAGAGCTAAAAAAAAATTTTTTTTTTTGGTTTGCTCTGTTTCTTATGTACCTATCATCAATTCATTTTCAAACTATTCTTCCAACTCAATTTTTCCTTTTGGGAAATTCTCTCTTAGAGCTTTTTTCCAATTTAGTACAGCTGCATTTTCGAGGCCTTCTGTATGGCTTTTTGAAGTAAAACTTGACCTTCATCTTGGAAATTCCTCTTTTCCATATTAGATTCTTTGTTTCCTGAATCCATGTACTCCTCTTTTTCAGTTTACTCCTTAGTTTTTGATTGTGTTTCCTCCAGTCGTTTTCTGAGGAAGACAGGCTGAAGGACAAACTTGTTTTCAATGTTAGATTTATTGAGGTTTAACTTACAACCAGAAAAATTCACCCCTTTTAGCTGTATAGTTCAATGAGGCTGACAAACATTGCCAGTCATGTAATGACTGACAACTGCCACCACAATAAAGATATAGAATATTTTCATCACTCCAAAAAGTTCCCTGTGCCTCTCTGTAGTCAATCCTCTCACTTCTAGCCCTGGGGCAACAAGTCACTGATTTCTGTCCTATATAGATTTGCCTTTCCCAGAATGGCATATAAATGGAATGACAGAGTATTTATCTAGATACCTTTTATGTCTGCCTACTTTCACTTAGCATAATATATTTCAGATTCACCCATGTTATTGGATGTATAATTCTTTATTCTTTCTTTATCTACAATTTCCTTTCCTTTCACTGGTTGGTGGATATTTTGGATATGTAATGGATATGGATATATCCAGTTTTGGGTGGTTTTAAATAAAGACCACATACCAGTCTTTGCATGGATATGTTTTAATTTCTCTTAGGTAAATACTTAGGACTGAAACTGTTAAGGGTTATGTTAAGGGTATATTTAACTTATTTTTTATTTTTTTATTTCTGAGAGAGACAGCATGAGGAGGGGAGGATCAGAGAGAGAGACACACACAGAATCTGAAGCAGGCTCCAGGCTCTGAGCTAGCTGTCGGCACAGAGCCCGACGTGGAACTCGAACCCACGAACCGTGAGATCATGACCTGAGCCAAAGTCGGATGCTTAACCGACTGAGCCACCCAGGGGCCCGTTTAACTTTTTAAGAAACTATCAAACTGGGTGCACCTGGGTGACTCAGTCAGTTTAATGTCTGACTCTTGATTTAGGCTCAGGTCATGATCCCAGGGTTGTGGGATCGAGCCCTGTGTCAGGCTCCACACTGAGAGTAGAGCCTGCTTAGGATACTTCTTTCTCTCTCTCTCTCTCTCTCTCTCTCTCTTGCTCCTTTGCTCCTCTCCCCTGCTCACATTCTCTAAAATAAAAAACAAATTGTTAAAAAAAAAAAAAAGGCCACAACTATCAAGCTGTTTTCAAAGCAGTTCTGTCATTTTATATCTCTACCAGCAATGTATGAGAGTATCAGTTCCTCTGAATCCTCATCAGGCATTACTATCAAATTTTTTCATTTTAGCAATTCTATTAGCTGTGGGATTAGAAAATAAATATTTTGAGACTTGATAACTTAAAAATATACTTGGGTCTACCAGCAATTGTATTACTAGGTATTTCCAAAGGATAAAAAAATGTTTGCTTTTTATAATGCCTTCTGGTTCTTCCGTTGCTACTACAGCTATCAACTATCCTTTCAAACTATTTTAAGTGGGCCTGCCTAGAAAAGCATCCCTGTCTCCTAATTTTCTGTTTATGGTGTGCTGAAGGTCTTGGAATTGTGTAGCATAAGCCTCAGAAACACACTTTGAAACAAAGATCAGTGTAAAAGTGATTAGGAATGTTCCCAAGGGAAAATCTTAAGGTAGTAAGGAAATGAGACCAGGAAGGCAAGGAAGCGGGGTAAAGGCTTGTGAGGTTAACTATGGCAAGGGTAATTGTGGCTCAATTCTATGGGGAATTTGGGAGACAGTGTAGGTCCGAGTGTAGGTCCGAGTGTAGGTCTGACCTAAAAGTTGTCCCAATTAGAGAGAAGAGAAATAAAATATTTATACTGCATCTCATCAGTCATTGGTAAAGGGCCGTTGCTGGAGGGATGTAAATTCCTAAGCACGTTTGCCTCTTTCCAAGCAGGCATGATGTGTTCAGCAGCCCAGATGCAGCTCTCCAACACAGATACATTTGCTGGATGTTGGGAGTGTCCATGTGCAAGAAAATGAAAAAAGACATCTGAGAGTATACAGAAAAAATACTTATAGCACTCACTACCATTCTCCTATGAATCTAGCTTAAATGTTTAAGAGCATGAAGATTTGCAATGGGTGGCACTACAGGCAGTTAGGCAAAATTTGGTTTCACATCCCCATTACAAACTGAAAATTACATATGTGTTTACACACAACTTTGTACACAAATGTTCATAAGCAACATTATTAATGGTAGCCAAGAGGTGGACACACCCAAACATAAACTGATGAACAGATAAACAAAATGTGGTATATATCCATACAATGGAGTATTATTCTGTAATAAAAAAGAATGAAGTACTGATACATATTACTACATAGATGAATCTTGAAAACATTATGCTAAACGAAAGAAGCCAACCACACACACAAAGGCCACA